ATGCATTGACCGTTACTGGAGCTCGATATCGTTATATGATAATCCAGTTCTGTTTGCCGAACTTGATATGGTCAATATACAATATGTATGTACATATGTGGCGGCCGCAGTAGCCGAGTGGTTAGCATTGCGTGCTGCCATTCGGAAGGCTCGGGTTCAAATCCTGGTGTCATACTAACATCCAAAAAGTTATGAAAAATTAATTGTGAGATAAATTTTCCAATTGCCGTCGCCTCTCGATTTAGTCAATTGCTGTGCGAGGGCTTGTCCGTAAATAACCCTCTCATATATATGTAATATGTACTTTATGATTCCATTAAAACAAGTGAACGAAGGACAAAAAACTTTGAGTTCTATTTAGTACCAATCTTGCACTAATTTTGGGACACAAAAACACTAGTAAGTGCAGTTCAAGTTATCTATGCGACGATTCTCGAACCCAAAATTATATTTTTTTCATGTTAATGTCTGAAATCGGCAATGTTAATTTAACCGAAGTGGGAGAAATAACAAAAGTTCAAGCGCAGTTCGAGCCCTGACCGCGAAAAAGATGTAAGCGACAAGATTATCGATTTTCACTTTTTGATAGATACATATCAATAATTTATAATCATATCCTTTATCTGCGGAATTTTTGTAACTCTGGAAAGTACCGTTACAAAGTAGCGGCAAAAGATGTTTCAACGTGAGAGGCAACTGTTTTCGGTTAACGTTTTGCTTGACGGCGGGGTGTCGCTTACATTTTAATTTTCCGCTTTGAGTTTACCTTTGTGTGCATAAAATGTTAGCTTCTTATAATTTTTTTTTTGTATTTGTATTATGAGTTGAAACATTAACGGAATTGGAGAATAAGCAAAGGTTATAATTCATTAATACTGCCCAAAGCAATATAGTGCGCGCAGTTAACCAAATTAATGAATTATTCTAACTCAAATTAAACTCCAATCCTGGTCGTCATCTTAGAAATGTATATAAATTAAATGAAAAAACTTTTTATTTAATGTACTTTCTTAAACTAGTGACGACTAGGTTTTGTGGTGCCCAAAGCAATATAGTGCGCACACATCTACTTCGCCTGAAAGCTAAAAATCAAGTCGGTGAAGCTCGATCGCTTGAATTGGGCGTTAGCTACGAAGCATACGGGGTTGCCGTGGTGCTTTTACAAAGGTTTGCATAGACATTGGCTTTTAGGAATCCCCGCTGCGTCACATTCTTATGGTAATAATTGTTAAATCTATAACCAATATTGAAGTAGAAGTGCATTTCAAGTTGTTTATGTACAGCAGTCAGTTTGCTTCAGAGTTATTTAAAACCAGGGTTAAGTGCGTACATATTTATAAGTTTATCGGTTGTTTTATTGAATTCTTTTTGTAATTCGAAACGTAGTTCATAAGATTTAGTAGTTATAAAATGTTCCCTTCTTTATTAAAAATTCAATTTCAAACTTTACGCTCTGCCGAATTTGAAAAAAAGAACTCCATTATTAAACTCAAATATGGATATTTTGAACACTCTTAAAAAATGAGCCTCTCTCCGTAGTCTCATTTCTATTAAGTATTTCACCAGCTAAATTGAAAAGAACTCGGTGATAAAAATACAATACCTGAAAAGTTTCACAAAGAGTATTTGAATCTAAGATGCGATGAAGCTATTAAAGATGCTTATTAGAAACAAATGAAGATGAATCTGATAATGCACATTAATTTATGTGGATTTATGATAATTAAATATGAAGTTCCTAATTTTTTATTGTTGTTCTGATGAGTGTAATATTTACAAACTGAAGTACCAGCGTCCAATGTTTTCTAAGAATTAAATTAATTTTTTTTTGATTTTCTCCTTTGCGAGTTCAGGATAGCTAACCATCACATAGACTCACGTGACATTTTCGTTTTCACCAAGTTCTGGGTACTTAACTATTGGTTATTCGTTTGTTTCCCCAAACGATATGGTTGTGTAAGTCTTAAAATCTTCCTTTTCTTCTTTTTTTTTCATTTTATTATTAATTTTGTTTATGGAAAACAATTGTATTTTAATTAAATTTATTTCATATATTTTTATTAGGTAAAAAGGATTTGAGGCTTAAAATTACATATATTAAATGTATGTAATGTATATGTATGGTTTCCCTTTACTTTAGTTATGTTTTCTTCGGCATCAAAGGATGTTTCTGCTGGTTCATTCGCTTGAACTTCTACCTAATCCAAATTCGAGTCATTCTGTCTACAGGCAAAAATGACGTTCATAGTTGTGCTGAGTGAAACTCTCAATCCAAAGCTCCTCGATATGAAATTTCAAATAGGGTTTCGATGTTCATTGCAAAGACGTTCAGCTGCTGAGAACCCATAACCACTACCACCCAATTAAAAGAAGTGCCTAAATTCATTTTGGTTCAACCGATGGTTCAGACAGCCATTATTCCAGAATCCGGTCACCGCGGTGCCCAACACCGGAGCACAAATTAAAACACTTCCCGATGCATAAAACATAATGTTAAAAGCAAAATTTCCGCTGCTTTATCCGACAAAATCAAATAAAGTATCAACAATGTTTATTTATCCAAAGCACAATATTTTCACAAGCCTTTCAGTGCGGCTTCTAATTTTACTTTCTAGATATTTTTCACAAAATATATTTTGCACTAATTTTGGAAAGACGAAATCTACGAATAAAAACTTCTTCATCATATTTCTTTCCCTATAAATGCGCCTCTGAATCAACGCAGCGAGTGCAGTGCGTTCCATATTTTCCATAATGAAATTTGTTTAAAAGCCAACTCCAGAATGCTATTTTATTTATTATTTTCCAATTTCCAGCTGTTAAATTATCTTCTGATTAAGAGCTAATCGCCATTCAATGTTGGCGTTAAGTTAACCGCAACTTAATTGACAGATGGCATTGTGAAAACGAATTTTATGCTACCTTCCGATGAAGTTATGATGAAGTGCTGAACCAGAGATGGTGAAAACGGCCCTAAATCTTTGTGGAGTAGTTAATATTGTGATAGCGAAAAAATTTAAACGACAAAAAATCGTGCTATTTAGTAAATAGAAAAACTAAACTTATTCAACATAAATTAGAAGTTTAATTTAGATTAAAATCAACTTTGCATGTTTAAATAACTAAAAATAACCTTATTCTGTAAAATTATCAGGTGTACAACTTTGCTTCCGCCGTTTCTTTTCCAAAATTAAAAGCTATATTGCGAAAAAGTGCTTACAGATATATTATTGAAAGTATTGTCCTTCGCTAGCGACAACTTTCTTCCATCTTTCCGGCATTCTTCGGATCCCGGCTCGAAAAAAGGAGTCTTCTTTTGAAGCTATTCATGAAGCAATCCATTTTTCCAATTCTTCGTCGAAGGATTGAAAATGTTGATCTGCCAGGCCGTGTGCCATCGAACGGAATAGGTGGAAGTCAGAAGAGGCGACATCTGGGGAATACGGCGGGTGGGGCAAGACTCCCCATTTCAGCGTTTCCAGGTACTTTTTGACCACTTTTGCGAAATGAGCCCGAGCATTGTCGTGTTGGAGGATGACTTTGTCATGTCGCTCTTGATATTGTGGCCGCTTTTCTTTTAGCGCGCGACTAAAGCGCATCAGTTGCGTTCGGTAGCGATCTCCTGTGATGGTTTCACCGGGTTTTAAGAAGTTTTTGAAGGTTTTTTTCTTCCACCACCATGTTTGTCTTTGACATCGAAATGACCATTTTTAAAACGTTGAAACGACTCCCGACACGTTCTTTCCTGAAGGTCTAATAATAACAAACGATTGGTTAAAATAACTAATTATACATGAATATTCTTCTTTTATTTCGCTTTCTATTATAATTTTTTTGCAGCATCACCGTAAGTTTCTGAGAGCATTCGATGCGCTTCAGCTGCATTTTTTTTCGAATTGTAACAGAAAAGTAAAACTTCCCGCAAATGGCGAGAATTAGGCACATAAACGGACATTTTCGAGCTTGAATAATACGAAAACAAGAACAACTTTCACTGAAACGGCGATGACAATTCGTTAGGCACTGCCCACACTCACTTTAAAGGCATTATCATCTATGTATTTCAACCAGCCTCAGCCGGTACAGCCACCTATCGGAAAACGGCGGAAGCAAAGTTGTACACCTGATAACTTTTTTGTCACTTACATCCTTTTCGCGGTTAGGGCTCGATATAACCACAATGTTTCACCCGAAAGATCTCAACTAGTAAGCCAAGGCAGGACTCTGACAAAAATGTTCGCAGTAGTGGGTAAAGGCGGAGTATTTTTGTTATTAATACAGTTCACTCATACTTACAAAAGCTTTTTTTTCGGAAAGTTCAAATGTATAATCCTTTAATAAAAAAACAATAAAATTTGATCAAGGGGAAAAACCACTCTAGAGCTTGAAAAATATACTAATTTTTAAAAATTTATTGTAGAAATATGAGAATAGGAATAGAATTTCTATTTAACCATTTCATTAAACATATATTGAAGTACATAATAAAAAAATATTCTTTAATTATTATTTTGTTTCAAAATGGCGGAGATAATAAATGTTTTTTTAATGGCGTCCACGGGAGGTCTGAATTCTTCTACAGGATGAAACCAACAACAGAAAAGCAAAATGTTTTATGATCTACAAACGATGCTCTTTGGAAGAACGTACGGATTTAATTTTCAACTAATTTTTGTGAAAGCGGCAAACTTTTTTTAAAAAGATTAATGTTTGACTCAAAAATACACACTAAATTATTAAAAAAAAGCGGTTTACATTTAATCAAAAAACGGCTAAGTACTTCCAAAAAAAATGTATTTTATGTCCCAATAATCTGTCCTCCCAGTTTGAAAAATATTGTTATATTTTGAGAAAAACACGTTTAAAGTTTTCATTGTACTTAGCGCACGATCTAAGAGGCTGCAGCAAAACAAAGAGTTCAGCCGTTTGAATTTTTTTTTTTCACTTTAAAACCAATTGCATATCATTTCTAGGGCACAAAAGTACCCTGTGGGCAAAAAAGAAAAAAATTTCCTTTTCCAGAATCCTAAAGTGGCTTTACCTCTTAATTTTATTAAATGCAAACAATTTTTCGAATAACATTCAAAACACCATAAAGCGAAATTTATTGCTTCAAATTCTTTCCTACTCCCATTTTTTGTATGAACGTGTAAAGAGTGAAGGAAAACTTAGCAATCTAGAAAAATATTATTATTAATTAAAGATATACATATGTACATACATATAATGTGTAAAAACATAGCGTCGCTGCATCGACAAAAAATGTTATGTGTTTTTCAGTAACTTTTCAGGAGAGCTAAAATATTTAAAAAATCTGATATTTGTTAATTAAAAAGTGTTAATATTTTACGAAAAAAATTATTTAACAGTTTTAAACACAAAACTGTTATTTTATAGTTTAATGAATCGATATAAAGACTCATTCACCAGTATATGTATTGTAATTTTTAATTTTGTCACTGCTGGCGGATGGGACCATGTGTACAAACACACGCGGGTAAGGAAAGTTTTTGACTACCTTACACTTGGGAGTGGCCAGAAAGCAGCCTACAACTACCGATCTTAGTCTCCACGGGGTAGACCAGAAACATACGTTTTTATGTGCGCTAAAGTGAGAAAGTGAATACCATGCGGTTGTGCGTAGGGCTTGGGACCCAGCATGAAAAATTATCCAATGAAAAAACAATGCATGCCTCAGATGAGAGAACCCGCTACTGATGACGACCTCCGCAAATGTCATGGGGATTACCATTTAAGGACACGCACCTGGAATGTCTGGTCCCTTAATTGGGAAGGTGCCGCTGCCCAGCTGGAAGATGTCCATCACCACCGTCCAATAAGTGCGTTGGATGGGACAAGGATGAAAGAATTTTTTTTTTAAATTTGGGAAAATTTAGTGTCGAACTTGTGATAGGAAAGAGACTCCGTCACCGAATACTTACATTCTCCTATAATCCACATCAAAATAAAATGTTTCGACAAAACGCTGATTTACGCGACCAAGAATGCCTATTATAAGTGCCTGGAGCCTGCCGCTACCTCCACCACTCCAGAGTGTGCAAAGAATGTATATTCGGCATAATTGTCGAAGAATTCAACACCCGCGTCCAAACGTCCGAGTTGGAGCTGGTCCGGTACAAGAAAATTCACCAAACAGCCTGTCTCCAAATGAAAAAACTAACAACCATATCGATCATGTTGTGATGTCATGTGTCCAGTGTTTTAGATGTGCCTACGTTCCGAGGTGCTAACATCGACTCGTATCACTATCTTGTCGCAGCGAAGATACGCCAGCTCCTTCGCCTTGCTTTCCACGAAATGTAGTTGAGACCGTCTAGTTGGAATATATGTATGTGGGCGGCCACGGCAGTTGAGCGGTTAACATTGCGTACTGCCATTCGGAGGGTTCAAATCCTGGTACGACCAAAATACAAAAGTTTCAAAGAATGTCCGTCGACAAAAGGAAAGTTCGACGTCAAAAAGTTGCAATCACAACAGGCTACCAAATCTCATATCTTGTTTTTCAATGCCAATGATATTTTCTAGAAAGAACATCACATAACTATTTTTCTCGACACAGCGACAATTTGTAAATCCAGTTAACATACCGACACACTCGTAGCCAAATTGATTGGCACTAATTTCAAAGCGAAGAACGGTATATCCGCTTGCGAGCGATGCAGAAAGTAGATTAACATTTGATTAAAGCGTTTACCCTGAGCTAGCCAATTGCTGTGGAAAATAGACATTGATAGACGCTCGCAATCCGATTGCAAGTGAGTGGCGTAATAGCAAGTGGGAGAGGTCTGTAGTAACACACAAAATAGATAGGTGACAGAGGCTATCCTGGTAGCGAAATCAGCAAAAATAAATATATTTATCATGGTAGTGCCCAAAATAGCTGCAGCGATGAAGAACTGTACAAACATTGTAGCCGATATTATTGGTTCCACCACACCGACTAAACTGAAATACAATTGCAAGAAAGATAATTATCAGATTAATGCGTAAGTAATTGTTTTTCTTTTTTTTTGTACTAATTTTGGCAACCGTACTTTAATATCTCCTGGTGTGTAATTATACAATCCTGTAATTCATGATACGCATCATCCCGGCTGCTACCTCCAGTTCCCAAACGCCTTACGCGGTTTGTTAGTAGCTGAACCTGAGTTCGTATAATGTAAATATACACCGCTGGGTAGGAGTCGTTAAGAATTTGGTGGAATAGTAAAAAGAAAAGCATAGCTGCATCGAAGCTAACTTGTAGCCAATACTCCCGTGCCGAACGGTGCCAATCCACATATGGTATCCACAAAGTGAGTGGCGCATGGCCACCCATCAGGGCGGATACGACAGTCAATGTTTCATACATCATGTACGATATAATGTAGCCGAATACAATACGATTACCGGTAATCGCACAACCACGTATTCTGGCTACATCCTCCGGGTCGGTGTATCTTGCATCCAACTTCATCAGCAAAGGTTCCGCACTGCGTAAGCGACCCAGCGACAAAGCCAGCGTAATGCTTTTAATTGGCACACCAATTACATTCAACGCTGCTTGCAGACAATTCAGGATCTCCATTATCGACAAAATATGTCTATCACGTATCCAGCCGACATTGAAGATAAACGGTGAAAGTAGGACGGCGAAAAGCGTTATTATACTGCCATAGAAGAAATACAGGAAACGGCATTGCGGCGGCGGGTTGAGACCAAGAAATCGAAATATATTGAATAAGTAAATAACCGCATCGCGAGAGGCGAAAACGCTGCGTCCACGACCTTTTAACAAATCGAACATTTTTAAACTGATGCGCTTTAGTCTGATCCATGCATTTTTATAGTGACAAATCGATTATTTATTTCCAAGTAAAGCAAACGATGCCTGAACTTATTCAGTTGTATTTGAAAAATTTAGTAGCTTTTACTTACTTTTTTTTACTTCGGAAAAAGTTCCTTACTCACACCCTCCTCTACTAACAAATACTTTATGAATACATTCATATGTATATACGTACCTACATACATATGTAACTGAAGTGCCGAAAATCATTTTATATTTTTCGTGTGTAGTGAAGACACCAAGGCAACATAACGATATGTATAGAGGCGGAGGCTTCTCACCGTATTTGATTTTAACTGTATTTTAGTTGTTGCTACTAATTTAGTTGTAGATTTCTTGCTAGTTTTATAAAAAAATCAGAAATAGTGAACTGTCAGCAACGCTACAAAAGAAACCAGGACAGATCCGTACATATCAAAACCGAATGAAATTCGTAAGGCGATGGGACTTGCTGGTCCGTTGTGATTGATACCAAGTTGGTACTGTTAAAGAGATTCGTCCTTTTACCTCTCCAAATACTCAAACCACTTAATGCCTAGAAATACAAGCTCTGCAAAGCAATCGGACAAGAATTTTACGAGATTACGATTACGGATCGCGCTGTTAGCTGGGTGGCGACAGAAGTAATCTTCCACCGCTTCCTTCTCATCTATATCCCCGTAGCTGCGACAGAAGTCTCTTGAAAAGCAGCCCATTCTTCTGCAATGAGTTATGAGTCTGGTTATGCTTATGAACGTTCGACTTAGAAGGATTAAAGACTTAGTTCTGTTTACCTCGATTAATGGTCAGATATGTCCTGTCACATTGCACGTGGTTTCGCTCTGTCATCTGCTGTTGGCCCTTATGGTGAAGGCTAGTCTTAGCATAAACTTTGACGAGGAAAGCGGTATTCAAACGTCATGTGCTGAGTTTATCGTGGTTAAGGCTGTTCCCTTTCTGGCTGTTTTACCCGCTACTAAGTTCCCTGGGATGTCCCTATGATAGAAAGGTTGTTTAAGATCTCTGTGCGCTTTATTGCCACCTTTGAGATGGTATGATTGCCTTGCAGAGACTTGATGGGAATTTATTGTGAGGATATATTGTAATAGCTTAAGTCAGCCTAGAATAGCCGTCGGAGAAGATGGCTGCCGTTCTATAATCCAGAAGCATTGCAATTTTCCATTTGTTCCTCATTGGGATTTTTGTTGAGAAAGTGTTTTCGAAACAGAAGTCGGAAAGTGGTTTAGTTCACGTTTTCCGAGAATGATGTAGAGTTAAGTATTTTCGTAGGAGTAGAGAGCACACCCAGAAAAAACGATATCGATGCCTTTGTGTACCTCCTAACAAAGGGTACCAGTTCGGTTTTAGAAGGATTTGCCCTGCGCCACATCCAGTATTTAAAAGCTTAGGGAGACACCAAAGACGGGAAAAGATGACTCCCCTCTGTTGCTGTTGTTGTTGTAGCGGTTCGCCCTCTCTGGTGCGGTGCCTCTACTGGGATGAATGGAGACTGATGCGCCTTCCAATTCAGTGAGACTTGTTCTGTTTACTAAGAGATATTTCACAGGATTCACTACCTGAGCTCCGAAACCCATTTCTCGGAGTGCAAACGAAAGTAACTAATGTCCAATGCAGGGGTAGATGAATTACTACTATCTATGTCTTTAGGATATACTGTAAGAGTGACTCACCTTTGGTGTTTGTAGCCGAGCTATCCCATTAATTGCATCGTGCGTTGGCATTCCATCATATAACAATGTACTCTTTGGGTTACCGTTGTCTAGATCTCTTAACTCTTTTGGGGGCACATCCCCAACGAGGGTGATGTAGGAAAATACTTAAAAGAATTTACTTGCCTTCAGTTCCACTTTTACTAACGTCGTATCCGAAGAACTGTAATTAGACAAAGAAATATATTTTTATACTTTTTTATGAGAATGTGTGGCGTCGGCTCCGCCCTGATTTTTTGTAGAATATTGCTTAATCCCAATATTTTATTAAATATAAGGCTCCTGGATAATACTGATGTCGATGCAACTCTAATGCATTTATGGAGGCTATCGGGTTAATCAGCAACTAGCTTTCATCATCAGCAGCTCATCGTCTTGAACTCTGGTCTTGCAGATGTCAAAGCCGATCTTATTACTACAACCTAAAAAACCTTCTTGAATTTGGCAACCCCCTTTCTGTTCCTAAGAGACTCCGAAGAATAAACCTCGTGGTGAGTACCCGCGAGTTCTTACCTGATGTGAACTTCTCGTTCAACAGCTGAGGGGCAGGCAGCTTGATCTTTGGCTATCTTCCCGAGAATGAAGACTACACTCTGGTATCAGCTCTCCCTTCTCCTTGATTGAGAGATTTCTTACAGTTTTTCTTGTGTATTGCACTTGAGGCAGCAATTGTACCTTGGCTGGTACTCATGGCAGCTTTCAAGGTGGACGGTACCATATTCAGTAATTGAGTTTTTTTGCCTGTTGCTAATTGTATTCACTGTTACACTTTTAATCGCCTCTATTCTGGAGGAGAAGGATGTATTACGTTATAAGTCCTGGAATCCAATGATTTGCCGCAAAACTATTCCACGAAATGGCTTTAGAGAAATATTGAGGTCCGGGTCGTTCCGGCACAAAGACCCGATTATGGCGGTAAGTAACAAAATTTAGTTCTTTTTCCGACGTACATTCTTTACCGCTAGTGAATTCTTTTTCCCACGACCAAGTGGCGACATCATGGCTATATCTGTTTCGTTACATTTGCCATCAATGTTTTATCCGTTGTTGTTATAGTAGTTAAATTTGTGAAGTTCAATCTTTGGTTCCGAGAGTAGGGGTTAGCTACTCATCCGTAGTGCCGGTTTGCCTAGAGATAGCATTTATATCTCAGCCTCGCTCGGGCAACGTAGGGTACATTCGGTTATCTTGGTGCGGTTATCCACAAATTTACCGAAAGCAGGAAGTGGGCGTAAGATCAGATATTTTAATAGATTTCTTCCCTAAACCCTACAAATTCGACAAATAAAAGAATTTACGATATGTACAGGTGTAAACTTTATTTATTTATTTAATTTCTTCATTATATTTTTATACATAAAAACATTCAGTCTCAAAAATACATCATCTTTAAATATACACGTTAAATTAACTAGCCATTTCGTAATTTACAAAAAGTCATGAAGGAACTCCAAACATTAATCATATTTAGGTTGTCATTTATGTGCTTTGCAATTTTTGCAATCAAAAAAGAATATAAAATAAATTCGTTTTGTTTGCATGAACTCAGTAGTGCGACCATCTGATTGCATACTTCGCGCTTCTGGGAACCAGCTTCTTCACATTAAATTAACAAGCAATTTACCGTAACATTAATATTTATTTACACTTAGGAATTATACTTTTTATAATTAATAATTTGGAATATTTTCGTCTATCCTGTGTCCATAGACTAATACCTTTGATTTCACCTTCTTACATCCAGATGTTGCCACGTCTATTGTTGCAACGATCTCTTCAAAATCAGCATCAGTAATGGTTAGATTTTCAGTCTGAACTTCTCTACGAATACAGTCTTTTAATTCTTTTTCATTAAATGATTTGAAATTTATTGTAGTTGTGTCGGGTAAATTCTGCAGTGAATCTCTTTGCTTTTGGTATAAATCTGAATTGAGCATTGAGTTTAAATTAAAAATATAAATAACCACAACTCGTTTTTTATTTGCACCATCTTGCGTGGCAATCATTTGATTTAGTAGCGGTATCACTGCATCGTCACAAGGTGAAAGGTTATCAACGATCAACAAATTACGTCCACAATCTGTAAACTGTTCCACATACATACGCAAGATACGAAATTTTTCTACTTCGTTTTCGACATGTGTATTCCAAGCATATGTCCACATATTTTCACGCCATGGAAAATATGACAACAACGCACTTGCAGTCATTGTTTTGCCCACACCAGAGGGACCGACTATAGCAATGGAGCGTAGTTGTGTTTCATTGCGTAATATTGAATCTAGTTTTTGAATAGCATCCTCCTGATGCAATATTTGATCATGTATTCGAGACAAAATGTTTTGTACGTCTAGTTTGGCATCGCAATAATGTGGTTTACCATGAATTATCTGATAATAATGTCGACGATAACTGCTCACAAAATCTTGTAGAATACTGCTTTGCTCGGTGTTATTATGTGTAAGGTGATGTCCTAATAGAACTGCAGAAGCAACAGACGATAGTAAAGTTATGAACAATAGTCGCTTTAACTTTCGTAAGAAAAGGCGACCATTTGTTTCACAATTTTCGTTGATCTTATCAACGGAATTTGATGGGCTCGCCACCAAGCGACGGATTTTCACACGTTTCCTTTTCTTAGTAGTGCAGTTAACATCATTCATATTTTTGACAATCTACAATAGCAGAATTTGATATCAGAAAATCAACATATTAGATTAAAAAAAACTTACTGTTGGTTTTTGATTAGCTTCCATCTCAAGTTTTAAATTAAACGTATTAATAACTAGAAATTTATTAAAATACTCAAAAAAATTAATTTCTTGTGTCAAGTTTAAGTAAATTCATGAATTTTGATAGGAAATTCAAAGAAAACCATAACAAACCGGTAAACAAATCAAAATCGCCTAGTCCGCAGGTCTGAAAGAAATTAGTTTCGTTCGGTTAACGAATGGCAGTATCAATTATTACCAATGCACAAACATTGAACCGCATTCGGCGAGGCAAACAGTCGGTAAAATTTCCAGAGAGGCAGCGAAATTTTGACATTTTGGTATAGGCTTATTTTTATTGAAACAATACTTCTCACAGAGATCGTATATATTATTCTACATTCTCTGGATATCTCTAGGATGAGTTTAAAGATGGAGACTTTTGTTGATGGATATGTATAGGAAATTTGAATTTTCAAGCAAGCAGATCAGCAGAGCCCCTTTCAAACGTGTGTGAGTAGACTATTTTTTTTTTCGAAATCATAAAGTGTCAAGTCGCTATATAAATGGAAAAAGATTTTCGCTAAATAATTTCTAACTTCTCTTACTATTCACGACAACTTAATTTACAACGCCGAGGCCACTATTTTGACACAGTTTACTAACTGTACAAGCAAAGAACGTACATTAATATTAATTTACGTTCTTTGGTACAAGCCTATATGAGCACAGAGATTATACCTCTGTACGCTATACCACTGTTGTCTCTAACGAGTATGAAACACAACTGAACTTCAGCAATGGGCGCCCACATGTAGCTTCTGGAAGATTATGTTCGAATGTTCGATAATGAACATTTGCACACTATATCGAATATGTTTTAATTATCAGTCTCTAACAACCAAAGAATATGCCGGAATTTCCAGAGCTGAATACAAGCAGTAGGTGAGGTGCCTTAGAGAGTGGCCAAGACAGCGTAGTTAAGTTGAGTTTCGTGCTCGGTGTGACAACATCTGGGTAAAGAGAAGCGAAGAAAACTGTGTAAAAAAACAATAGGCTGATAAAACAGACGTAATTTTCAATTGATAAATAAATTATTGCAATACAGATTTCTATAAGAAAAGTATTGGAAAGAGCCGCGAATTCGCCTTGGGTATTCGCTGTGATTTGTACTAAAACTAAAACATTTGACAAATCGAGGAAGCGAATTCGGCGCTTATAAATGTAAATAAACTATATCGCGGTCGATATAAACATGTTTATTGCGGTCGATGTGATTTGATGTTATGATCCTTTTTTATTTTGAATGCTGATGAAAGTATTGTATAGGATAACAAAATTATCGCCGAACAAAAATATTTAAAACTAATATGGAAATGTAAGTATTTTAAATGTATTAATGAGAACACCTTTAAGAAGTTTTTACTGACTACCGGATTTTTAGATCAAATCCATGCTTTTCAGTGCTCTCAAACTATGAAGTGATGGAATCCCTTAAGACACTTAAGGATACAAAGAAAAAATATGGGCTGAGGAACTTAGCGACAATTACATATGAGGTTTTCGCATAATAGCTACAATAATGAAAGTATATAATCTTTTATTTAATTATTTTCTAGACATTACAATTTTTGGAAGACTCACCCTGCAAACAACAGTCACGTGAAACCATTCATGCTTTTTTAACTGAAGTAAAGGCCTTAAACTGTAAACTTACAACCACTGAATGTTTAATGATGGTAAATGATCCTCCCACTAGTGCATTACACATTCAATTGGTAAAGGCAAATGCAATAACTTAATATATATACATATCTAATTTTCGTCTTATTTTAGCTTATCGAAGATAGTGAAGAACGTTTAACGGAAGATCAGGTGAATGAACTTCTACAGATTGTTGCAAAGCATTTTCCTAATGCTCCATCAGAAAATAATTAATAATAAAACGGATATGTTTTATATTTCATTATAAGAATTTATTTTGTAAAAATGCATGTTGCGAGGTTTATTTTATAATTTAGCGTTTTTGATCACCTAAATCATCAATGTAGTCCTCATCAATCTCTGGCCATTTTTCCGGTATGACATCGAAAAGATCATCTTTCACATCTCCTTGAATTACAATTTCATCATCACCAGTAACAGAAGAGCCGCAAGCAAATTTTGTACCGAAGAACTTAGCAGCTACCTTCAAGTCAATATCTGTTAGAAAATTGCACAGTTAGTATATGACATATAAACTTAAAAAGGGAGTTAGCCCACCGAAAGTATTTAATCCCGTCACTACAGTAACCGACTTCTTTTTTCCACGAGGCGCTCTGGAAACTGTAATTTTTTTGGGCACTTCTTCCTTCTTTTTAATCTTCATCATCCCCTTTCCACCTCTTTTCTGTCGTTTCTTGTCGTCATCTGTGCCATCGACACCGGCGGCCTCATCCTTAATTTTCATTTGTTCAAATTCACCAGGAAGATGCTTTTCAAGCCAAGCTCTGCATTTTTCGTATTCTGGATAATACTCGCAGTACTTTGTAAATTGAATTAAATGTAAATAATATTAATATTAATAGCACAAGTTTTAAGACTTACTTCTAGCGGCATTGTACAGTTTCCACAATACTGAACCACGATAGGATATGTTACACCTTCGCGGGGACCTAATTTTAAACGTTGAGCTGGATCCAATGGAGCTACTTCCGCTGACATTTTGAATATTTTAATTGTTCTTTTATTAAATTCAAACTATCAATTTAGTAAATGAGAGCTGAAATAAATATCAATCGAAAACCAGCTGTTATTTTGACAAATCGACACATAACGAGGCTAAGGAAATGGTTCGTGGCTGCACTAGTACCGTATTTGCGCTGCCAATTTGAATTTTAATAATTTGAGGAGTTCACAATGTGCTCTAATAGTTAGACCTACTTATGTTAACAGGCCTATTCTCACTGTTACCGGTAATGTAAATTTTGTTACTTTTCTTTAACGCCCGAAATTGAATTTGGTATTCTGGCGAACTGGTTACAATATTTGAAAAAAAATTTGGGAGCACTGTTTTTTTCGTTCATGTCAAATTACATTTACCTGTTGATAAAGTAAAAAGAAAAATATTCACATCGAAATGGAAGACGGTGCACAAAAAAATTTAAAGTTTTATTAATTTGTTTATTAAATCATAAATATTTCAACAGAATTATGGAAAATATGCCTGGATAACAAAATAGGCTGAATGAAAACGTTATCTTACAAATTAAAGGGCTATTTTTTAGTCTCGAAAACTTCTTAAAATACTGCTTTTTGCACTTTTTTCTTCATCTTCAATGAATTCCAGGCCTAAAATATGCCTACCCATTTTGGTTTTTTATTTTTTTCTCAAATTTACAACACAAAATCAAACAGCAGATATGTTTGTTACCTCCTATTTTGCTGGTAACAAAATTTACAGGGTAACAGTGAGCTCAGAATACGGAATGGTAACAAAATTTACTGAATGGTAAATTATAATACCTAGGTAAATTTTGTTACCTCGACAGAATAGGCCTGTAACTGACAACGTTGCGGGTGTTTTTGAGGCATTGAAAAGTGCTACAACGTTTTTATTTCCAAAATGTGGTAACATTTAGCGAGTAAAGCAGCTGAAAAGGAAATTGAAAATACAGGTAAACGAAAATACACGGCTGTTTAAGGAAAAAGTTGACTACAGTAAAAATTTGTGTAGTGAACAGATTTTATCCTAAAATTTCATCAAAATAGTGAAATTAGATATGCGAACACTGTTGGCATAAATAGGTAATGCTTTTATTAGAAATATTACTCATTCTTCCCTTAAAGTTATTCTTGCAAAGGTGCAACTAGATATACGGAAATCGCAGACGTTTTCGATATATTGATTTTTTGCATTCAGTTTATGTAGAAGTAAATAATTTGTTTATGGTTGCTATTTTAAAGAAATGATTTAGTAAACGTTTTAACATATTTGGGATATTGTGTTTAAATGTTTAATTATACGAATTCCATTCCAGACGCAATAGTATTTATGGAATGACTGTCTCACTTAACCCACCCACTAATGGGTGACTAGTTAATTGTATATGTACATAATTGTGTGTTGTTTGATGCGGGTAAAAGTAATTAAAAGCAGTGCAACTGAATACAACAATCATATGGAATTCGTCACTCTAAACAATCTCTACAGCGGCATTTTAAGTGTTTTAATAAAACTTTGAATGATTTCTTAGCGGATGATATCTGAATTATTTAGCTTATTGATTTTAAATCTTATAGGCTCCTCGTAAACTCAGACTCATTCGAATGAGTTTGCAAATTTTTTTCCTTTTTTTTTGCTTTTTGAGCTTAGAATATGCATGTGTATGTAAAACTCTTTGTTCGCAAGTTATAACCACCCAAATAAATTTTTTCTTAAGAACAAGTCAATGTTTAAAATATTCATATAAATCTGTAAATATGTATGGATGTAGGTCTATGTGATGAGTAATTTTAAATGGTTTTCCCTATTGTTGTTGTTGTTGTGACAGGCGACTATTGAAATAGATGCATTTGTGCACCCAATAACAAAGAATCTCATTTAATTTTTCTGCCAGATGCAACGATGAAACTCATACGCCGTGGAAGCACTACCTACTAAGTAGACCAAAGGTTTGTTGTAGATGGCAAGGACAATAAAAGCACTGATATCTCCGTCGAATAAGTTCAAATAACAAATACTCAGCATTGTTGATTTTCAAACCATTAGTATCATAAACGGGCACAAAGGAGATAATTTACGTTTAGGATATTCAGAATTATTATACCAAATTTCTCAAACACAAAAAACAGAACGTTTGATATATAAAACATAGAATGAACTCTGACGGTAATAAGATGGATACGTCTAGTAACGGACGTATCATATACAATATGTCTCAAATAGCGCCCGGTATGGGATCGACCATACCTTGTACAGATTTCCCTGTTAACAATTCAAATATAACCTTAAATAGTCTTGGTAGTGTAAGCGGTATTGGTAGTACATCGGCAGCTGCTAGCAATGATTGCTGCTTAAAATTGAATAACGAACAAAGTTTACCATCAGCCACAATTGCTAGATGTCAAAAGCCGCAGGAGCGTTATGTATGGGAAATGCGCACACGTAGTCCTAATGTCACGCCTGCCAGCACTGTGCTGAATTCACCGGATTTAAATACAGATGTTCAATATACACTACATCATCATCAGCATCGGCAACATCAAATAAGGGTTGGGCGAAGTCCTGGAAGTCAATTTGAATCACAAAACGTAATACCACAAGTAAATATTCCAAACACTTGCTTATATTGCTATAAACAGATAACTTTTTAATTACAGGATCTCGCCAGTCCAGGCGGCTCACCGACTGACGTCGGTAAAGTCGGTGTCCAATGTCTGCGGGATGGTGAAATAGTTGTCTTTGATGATATTGATACTAGCTGGATGAATAAGACAGGTACACCTAACGTTTCAAACGTTGCGCAAGCGAAAAATTCTTTAGATTGTTTTACATCAGCACATAATCAGCACAATAATGAAGATATTTTAAAAGTCACAAAAATGATTGGGCAGCTACCGATTGCCGAGTACGAAGGATCCCCACGTCGATTTGGCAATCTACCACAGGGCAATATGAAGTCGGCAGGTGCATGCTCTTTCCCTAAAAGGCCGCCGGGATTCCCGCAACGTGTGTCGCCTATAGCAGGTGCTCAACAACAACAACAACATTCATTAAATCAGCAACAGTTTATGCAACAAGAGCTCAATTCACGTACAGCACAATATGCAAAACGTAGCTTTCAACAGCAGCAACAATCATATTATGTGACGGCCCCAGGCATCGCGTCTGATACTGCTACCGTAAATAATTGTCCTGTTAATAAATCCATTGGCAATTTAATTGACATTGATGGCGGAAGTAGCGCCGCAATTGTTGCTGACAGCAGACAAGGTGAAACGCCTGCTTTCGATTATTTATATGAATGCTCTGAAACACGCAAAGTTTTAGAAGATTTCTTCAAAGCAAATTCAGAAGATGAAAAACGGTTTACGGATCATACCGAAAGCGGTGATGATGTGGGCAGCTTTGTATGTGTAAATTAATTAATTAACGATAATTTCAAATGCAATTATTAGCGATTTTTCATAATTTTAACTCTATTAGCAGGACACCCACTTAGAATATGAACGTGAGCGTGAACGTGAACGAGAAGAGGGGAAACATATTGAGCAGGCGTACATAGGACAGCGTTTAGCTAGAATACCTAAAGAGGAATTAAATATGGTGCATCGTTCGCCTCGTAAGCAAGTGAGTATGACTCGCAGAATTTTAATTCATATGCCGAAATAGTCATCGGGAAAGTCGTAGGAGATCCAAACTACTTTTTTAAGCCCTGCATATTCGATTGCATAGCTCTAAGCCTTATATTAAATGTCCAAAATTAAGAGCTCGTTAATTAAACTGTTTAGCTATACCTCAATGCAGTATTGATATGATTTAAATAAATGAGCTAAAATATCAAAGCGAATAGTATACTTTTTTTTAAAGAGATAGGAAGTATAGTTTAAATTTTTTTCTATGATCAACAACCGTGTATTTCCTTTTTTTTGCATACCTATAACTACTTTTACTTTCGTATATTGCCAGCATTAAAACATTAAAATGACTTATATAATTCTTCCAATATCTTTTAGCCTTGTGAAACGGCATACAATGAAAACAATGACATCGAGTTATACATAGACTCAAACAGTCGCAGCAGTGGAGATTTGGCTGATACAGATTTAGAAGCAAATATGCGCCGTCACTCCCGTAATTTCACATTGTCACCTGAGACTACTGACTACGATTCCAACTGTGGTGATCTCGATAGTTTATCCAATGATATAAACTGTCCCACTGACTATGGTAAGCTGTACACTAGCATGCCTGTATTGGAGGATGGATTATCGAGTGGACATGCTTCGGATACTGAGAATAATGTAAATACCGCAGTGGAAAATGAAAAACAAATTGTCGAATGTAAAATTGCGGAAAATGGGGAGTATGAACAGACACAACAGCAATACAAAGAAGAGCAGCAACAGTCTACGCCCCCTACAATGATGCAAAATAATGACTATACCACGACTTTATCACATGAATGTAATGATAGTTGCATATCAAACAACTTAGGAGGCGATATTGTGATGGATTCGAATTTAATAAGCGATTTAATCGAAATATCTGAAAAGTCAAACCAGCAGCAAAATCAACAGCGGCACCAATCAAGTCATCAGTTATGCAGTCATGAAGTTTTTCAAAATGATGGCAACTATTGCAATAACAATGATTGTTTAAATGCAACGAATGAGCTTACCCATAATGATTCTAAATACGACGCCGTCTACGTATCAGCTATAAGTAAGCGCATCCGTATTGTTAAAAAAAATATCCAACTTGACACATTCATAGTTTTATAAATAATTAAACTCAATTTTTTGTGGTCTGTTATCGTTTCGTATATACATATTTCAATTTTATCATTGCAGCTGCAAAACAATCTCCACCACCTCCGCCAGCGCCAACAGCTTATCGGCAGTGTGCACGCTCTAAACAGCAGCGAGAGTCAGCAGACATACAAGAAGCAATGAAGGAGATACGATCGGCGTTACAACGTGCGAAAACGCAGCCAGAAAAATTGAAATTTTGTGATGAAGTGTTACCGCCAGATCCTGAATCGCCAGTGTGGGTGCCACGTAAAGCATCGCCTTGTAATGCGACTTTGGTAGCCAATCGGATCGAGAATCACCGCTTGCATAATCATAGTGGTGATATTGGCGAGGGTGCTATTGGGACGGTGTGTGATGAGGAAGAACCGGATACTGATTTGGAGACGGATCGATTGCTGGGGCAACAGCGAATAGACGAACAAGGCTATTATGATGATAAGGTATTATAATAATAAATTAGGAGTTTGATTTAAATCTTCCATAATAGCTAATATCTTCTTTCATCAATAGACAATTTGGTCAAAACCAACTCGTACCGGTGCAGGCACCGATTCCAATGACCAGTCACCTAGCACATCGGATATAACAATGCTCACCACGAATTCTGTCAGTATTAAAGCTCAAGCATTCTCGTCAGCAACAATACGACAGGGTATCGGCACAGCGCTAACACCGAGTTCACCGGAACAAACCCAGATTGTGGGCAGCGCGGATGTTACGCTCTCCTCACCTGAAAAGCTACAATATACAAAAAGTCCAACGGGTTCTATCAAATCGCTAAAAGATTCAGCGAATAGCGATAAGAAAGCAAAAACTCGCAACAAAGAGGGTAAGTTGAGCGAACGATCTGACATGAATGCCAATGTGTGTTTAATCTCTATTCGTGGACGTCTCTTTGTCTCTTTGTTTGTCTTTGCACGCTAACGTGATTCGAAAATAAATAAACACTAAAAAAAAAAAAAACGTTTACATCGTAATGCGTGTGTGTATGCTCATGTTTACATACATTCAATGTAAGTCAAGTGTAATTTAATTTAAGTAAATAGTTTACACCGTAAATTATTGTTTACTTTAGTGCTTATGTAATGAAACTAAAAAATAGCTGTAAAATTAATTTTGTGTTGAGTTTGGGTTAATTCTGAATCCTTAAGCCATAACCGTCTATGTCTGCTATTTATAAAAATAAATAAATTTTATTTTAGCAGGTTTTTTATTTTTAATTACCATGCCAAAAAGTTACAAACGCAAAAATTTCACATGCTCAAAACTCTAGTTAGGTGGTTATGGTTTATAACCGTTCATATACGTATAACTATCGAAGTTATATTATTTCTAATACATTTAATGTACAAGTTTAGAAAACATTTTGTTGTAATTACGTTGAAACTAACTTGTAAATACGTAATTAATGCATATATTTCACATATATAATATACTATATTGTATTTGTTTATCTCTGTAGGACTGTTGGACCCTGCAGTGCTGATTGAAGGTGTTCTATTTCGCGCACGTTATTTAGGCTCAACGCAATTAGTGTGTGAGGGGCAGCCTACGAAATCGACGAGAATGATGCAAGCTGAGGAGGCTGTGTCACGTATTAAGGTAAGGTAATCCAGACAATATGGGCCATTCCTTGATTAGTGACCTGTAATATATAAAAAACCCAATTGGTCTTATAGGATAATTGCTTTCTTTAGTATGTTTCTCACTCGTCAAGAATATATTTTTCTTTCATAAACAAAATGTTTCATTAATATCTAATAAGCAACATTTTGTAGTAAGTGATGGATAGACAACTTATTCTTTTATACCCACCCAGACATTTATATGTACACAAAGGTAGTTCTATATACAAGTTAGGGCTTTTTATTTATTTATTTTTTTAACAATATGTGGATTTAAGGTTCACTAATGTCTAAAAACAGGAAAAAAAATATTGAGAGAGGTTTACCATAAGCCCGCACTTAGTCTTCCTTACTTGTTTTGTTTTTCCTAAGAAAAAGCCTGTGAAGCTAAATTTAATTGAGACATTGAAAATAGTTATATATTATACATATGCATATATAGCATCTGGAGCATCTAAGCTATTTTTTTTTTAATATTTAAATATCACGGAACGGCTCATTTATGTTGAAAAAATATGGCACAACTTATTTGATTTTAATGGAATACTTTACCTTTAATTAATTATACAAATAATTTTTGCTTTTATTGCTGCTCGAATTTAAATGCGAAACCTTGTAGGCTTTGGTAAGTGCTGCTAGACTTTGCCTTTATTTGGTTATCTCCATGCGTTGATTTTGTGAATTATTTTACTTATTTTTATCCTTTAAATCTTTTCATTTTGTAGGCTCCAGAAGGTGAAAGTCAACCCTCTACTGAAGTCGATCTATTCATATCAACCGAAAAGATTATGGTGCTCAATACTGACCTCAAGGAGATTATGATGGATCATGCTCTACGTACTATTTCCTACATTGCCGACATTGGTGATTTGGTTGTGCTAATGGCTCGTCGTCGATTTGTGCCATCCGACTCGTGCGGCTCGGATGCAGATATTGCCAACGGTTGTAATGATGGCAATAAAGATTCTCAAGAAAATGGCACTGGCGGTAATAACTCTAGTGAAAACGGTGGAACGTCCAATAGTATTAGCTGCAGTGTTGGTAATGGCAGTAATAAACTTAATCGCACACCCAAAATGATTTGCCATGTCTTCGAAAGCGATGAAGCGCAGTTTATTGCACAATCAATTGGTCAAGCTTTTCAGGTTGCCTATATGGAGTTCTTGAAAGCGAATGGCATTGAAGATCATAGTTTTGTAAAAGAGATGGATTATCAAGAGGTGCTCAATAGCCAGGAGATTTTCGGCGATGAATTGGAAATATTTGCAAAAAAGGAGCTGCAAAAAGAGGTTGTTGTACCAAAGATGAAAGGAGAAATACTCGGTGTGGTGATTGTGGAAAGCGGTTGGGGTTCAATGCTTCCAACTGTCGTTATAGCTAATCTGATGTCAGCAGGTGCTGCGGCACGCTGTGGTCAGCTAAATATTGGTGATCAATTGATTGCCATTAATGGCATGAGTTTGGTCGGCTTACCACTGTCAACTTGCCAGAATTACATACGTAATGCGAAAAATCAAACAGCGGTAAAATTCACTGTTGTACCGTGTCCACCAGTAGTTGAGGTGAAAATCAAGAGACCAAATACAAAGTATCAGCTGGGCTTTAGTGTGCAAAATGGCGTGGTAAGTTGCAAAATACTTCGTTATTTATGTACTGGGTTTCAAACAATTTGAGCTTTTTAGTGCGGAAAGGTATTTACTATAATTTTTTTTATAAATATATATATATTATATATGACAAGACTGCTATAATTTTTTAGTTTGTTCTGGCTCGTGCTCGATACCATGTATCATAACTCTTACTAGAGTGCCTAGTAAATATAAAAAATATATCTATCAGTTAGGCATACAAACATTTAAATAGTTTTTTGCAGTTCATTCTTATTACTGATTAATCTTTTTTGCAGATTTGCAGTTTGTTGCGTGGTGGCATTGCGGAACGTGGTGGTGTACGTGTGGGACACCGTATAATTGAAATCAACAATCAAAGTGTGGTGGCGGTGCCACATGAAAAAATTGTTAATCTGCTCGCTACATCCGTGGGCGAGGTAAAATCAGGAACTTTTTTATTTTTCGTCTCTATATATATGTATATATATATATATTCATGTATATCTTATTACTTTTTTGCAGATCTTAATGAAGACTATGCCTACATCAATGTTTCGCTTACTCACGGGACAAGAGAATCCCATATACATTTAAATTATATTTAACTTCTGCGCTATTAAATAATCGTAAATACATACTTACCACTAAAATATTTATAATAGTCTTTTCTAATTCAGTTTAGTATATCTTGTGCGCTAAAATGAAGTTTTAATACTTTCTATTTAAAGCCTAACAAACTAACACTATACATACTCAAATCAGATGTACTATTAGACGAGTAAGTGCAATAAGTTAATGCAAATTGTAAAAAAAAAAAACAAAAACAAATAATAATCGCAAAAAGTGTTCAATTGACGCGGTTCAACTTTAAATCAATCAATTTATAATTTTTGCAAAAATTTACTAAATAATAACACATACTTTACGCCTAAATATAATATTTTGTAACCTTGTGAAAACTTCAAAAATGATCTTCAATCATTGCTTAATTGAAAATCTAAACATACGTATATGCAAATAAAATATTTTTACTACAAATTGTGTAACCATGTATCACTAAACTAATAACTATATCAACTTGCATTAAACAAATGCTTCTTTCCATTCAATGAAATCATTTATAATTATGTAAGAATTTCAGTTCTGGCGATTGTATAACGTCAAATGTTTTGAGATGATTAATTGGCTTCAAACTATTGTACAATATCATATGTTCTAGAAAACAGAATTTAAAATTGCTAGCTTAAAGTATTTATGCCATGGCAAACACAATACTGTTAAATGATTAAAACAGCAAAATATAAATAACTCAATGTAAAAAAAAAAAAACAAAAAAAAAAGTTTATAGAAGACTGACAATGTTTTAAATTTTTTATTTAACTCGCTAAAGCGTAAATACAAAGACACAAATACAAATTAAACAACTATGCAATTCATTATAACAAATGTGCACAGAACTTTCAGTAAAAATCATGCAGTTAATCATCAGTGCCTCTGCATGGCTATTACAAGTTTAGGTAAATTTCTTTTCCAAATTATTGGTAATGAAATGAGCGCAACAGCATCTAGGTTTCAAATTGTCGGCCATACATGTACGTTGCATGAATATGTTGTCATATGCATATGTACATACAATATATATATATATTTATATATAAATTTTATTTAAGTACTTTAATTTAGTTTTAACTAAAGCGAATTGATTATTTAGTTATTATAACAGTGCCATCGCATATAAATTTATATTGTTATCTTCTATTAAAAGTTAAGCATATTTTGCTTTATTTTAATCATGATTTTATTTATACATTATTATAATTAAAAACTCTAACAATTAGCGCAATGTATACAATTTTGTTTTTTATTTATAATATTTAATTTTAATATTTAATATATCAATTCGAAGCAATGTGGAATTTAATGATTACGCTATTAACTACATTTATAATTTTATACCAAATATAAATTTATCTTGATACACAATAAATAATATGTGTTTAAGTATACGAATAAATTTTGTATCATTTTCATTTAGTATCAATCAAGTACTCATTTCGAGGAAAACAAAGCTATGACCTACTAGAGCTTTTGATCGCTATGGGCATGCTCACATTTAGTTCGCTTTTATTGGAAAGATACACACGATTTTTTATCTACACACATATACATTAATAATATAATAATATTTTAATTTTCTTAAAAATGCTCCGAAGGCCATGCATGTGCCATAAAGTATAGCATATCGTGCAGAATTAGATAAATACATGGAGAAGGTTAAGGAATTATGTAAATTTTTATAACACAAAATCCTAAAAAATAGTACGGCCTCAGAATGGCAGATGGTAAGTAATGCAACAGTTTGCTCTTGTTTAAAAATAAAAACAAATGACCAAAAAGGGCGCGTAATATTTACCTTAGCAGGCCTATTCTGTCGAGGTAACAAAATTTACCTAGGTATTATAATTTACCATTCAGTAAATTTTGTTACCATTTCGTATTCTGAGCTCACTGTTACCCTGTAAATTTTGTTACCAGCGAAATAGGAGGTAACAAACATACCTGCTATTTGATTTTGTGTTGTAAGTTTGAGAAAAAATTAAAAACCAAAATGGGTAGGCATATTTTAGGCCTGGAATTCATTGAAGATGAAGAAAAAAGTGCAAAAAGTCGTATTTTATGAAGTTTTCGAGACTAAAAAATAGCCCTTTAATTTGTAAGATAGCGTTTTCATTCAGCCTTTTTTGTTATCCAGGCATATTTTCCATAATTCTGTTGAAATATTTATGATTTAATAAACAAATTAATACAACTTTTTAATTTTTTTGTGCACCGTCTTCCATTTCGATGTGAATATTTTTCTTTCTACTTTATCAACAGGCGAATGTAATTTGACATGGACGAAAAAAGCAGTGCCTGCCAAATTTTTTTTCAAACAGTTCGCCAGAATACCAAATTCAATTTTGGGTGTTAAAGAAAAGTAACAAAATTTACTTTGCTGGTAACAGTGAGAATAGGCCTGTAGGTAACACGTTAAAGACAACTCTTTAAGTTAATGAAATACGCAAATTTTACGGGGGGAGGCAACAACAAATTCACACGACGATGTTACAAAACGATGTTAAATAAATACGGCGTCCTGTAAACACCTTACATATAAGGAAAAGAAATAAATATATATTTTACGATAAGGCAATTTGTGTGCTTAAAAAAAGGACCAACAAAAGAGAAGAGATGAATAAAACAAAAACAACATAGCGTATTTTTTTCATAGGCTTGTTACAGCACATCAAATAGTGAAAGAGCTTAAAAGAAATTATTTAGTTTTTATACAAAAGTACAATTCATTTTGTCATATACCATGTATGTATGTGCATACCTATATAAGTTTTATGTATAATTGGAGAAATCACATACAAAATTTTTATCTGCAGAGAAATCACATACAAAATTTTTATCTGCGTCAAAATGAAAGTTTAGCAAACAAATAGCGATGCGTGCATGTTCAATGTACATATATATATATATATATATATGTATGTGTCCAAAGTATATTTTAATTAATAGTTTTACAAATTTTAAATTTTATTTACTTGGTTTATAAATTTAATGACATTTAATTGATCTTAAAACAGTTTAAGCCAATAAATATAGACAAAATATATACATGTACATACATGTATACATACATATATGAGTGTGTATATTTGTTGAAATGCAATACTTAAAAAAATGTGGTGCAGCTTTGAAAAATTAAAAATAAATGCAAATAAAATAAAACGTGAAAAATTATTAATAAAATAATTTCTAATAATTTTTGCACTTAATAAAGAAAATAATAATATGTATGTAATTAATCCAAATGGAAATCGCTGCTTCTTTCAATAATACTCGTCAAGCAATCAAATATAAAAATTATAATAGGAAGCGAAATAAAAGAAGAATATTCATGTATAATTAATTATATTAACCAATTATTTAATCGTTTGTTATTATTAGGTCTTCAGGCTTACTGCCATTCGAACGGCCATTGTTCGAGCAACATGCAAAATTGTATTTTTTTTATTATTTAATTTTGTTTTGTTCATTTTGTTTTTTTTTATTGTATTTTATTTTATTATATTTTATTTGATTTTATTTTAATTTATTTAATTATTTTAATATTATTTTATTTGAAATTTTATTTATTTTACTTTTCATATTTGTTTCAATTTAATAGATTTAGTTTAATTTAATTTAATTGAATATTATTGTACTTTATTTGATTTTAAGTTGATTTAATTTATTTGGCTTCATATTATATCATTTTATGTTATTTGCCTGATTTCATTGTAATATAATCTGTCTTATTTTGTTGTATTATAGTTTACTTAATATTTTTTAGTTACAATTTTTTAATTTATATTATTTTGTTCAATTTCTTTAAATAATATTTTTTTATGCTTTTTTTTAAATTCTATATTATATTATTCTATGTTGTTTTCTATGTTACTTTGTTTTATTTTATTTAATTCAGTTTTATTAATTTTTTTTATCTAATTTTATGCTATTTTATGTATTTTTTTTTTTGCTTTTTTATTTGATTTGATTATATTTTGTTTTATTTTATATCATTTGAGTCATTGATGTGATGTAGTTTAATTGACATTCATTTTAATATGTGTTGTTCTATATTAGTTTAGTTTATTATTTTGTAAATTATCAGGTGTACAACTTTGCTTCTGCCGTTTTCCGATTGGTGGCTGTACCGGCTGAGGCTGGTTGAAATACATAGATGATAATGCCTTTAAAGTGAGTGTGGGCAGTGCCTAACGAATTGTCATCGTCGTTTCAGTGACAGTTGTTCTTGTTTTCGTATTATTCACGCTCGAAAATGTCCGTCTATGTGCCTCATTCTCGCTATTTGCGGAAAGTTTTACTTTTCTGTTACAATTCGAAAAAAAAATGCAGCTGAAGCGCATCGAATGCTCACAGAAACTTACAGTGATGCTGCTCTGAGTGAAAGAACGTGTCGGGAGTGGTTTCAACGTTTCAAAAATGGTGATTTCGATGTCGAAGACAAACAAGGTGGTGCTCTTAAAGCTGGGTAAAACCATCACAGGAGATCGCCACCGAACGCAACTGATGCGTCTTAGTCGCGCGCTAAAAGAAAAGCGGCCACAATATCAAGAGCGACATGACAAAGTCATCCTCCAACACGACAATGCTCGGCCTCACGTCGCAAAAGTGGTCAAAGTACCTGGAAACGCTGAAATGGGAAGACTTGTCCCACCCGCCGTATTCTCCAGATGTCGCCCTTACTTACTTCCACCTATTCCGTTCGATGGCACACGGCCTGGCAGATAAACATTTTCTATCCTTCGAAGAATTGGAAAAATGGATTGCTTCATGAATAGCGTCAAAAGAGGACTCCTTTTTTCGAGCCGGGATCCGAAAATTACTGAAAAGTTGGGAGAATGTTTGCGCTAACGAAGGACAATACTTTGAATAATATATCTGTATTTTTCGCAATAAAACTTTTAATTTTGGAAAAAACGGCGGAAGCGAAGTTGTGCACCTGATATGTATGTATATGTGGCGATACCCACATTACATTTTTAATTCAGGAGATCAATTCCATTTATGTTTATAATATTATTATTATTTACAATATTTTTACATTTTCAAATAATTTTTACTTAGATTATGTTAGACTTAAATATATTTCATTGCTAGCATTGTTTAATACTAAATTCATTTACTTGTACTCAATCCATAAAACCCGTATGTTTCAAAATTATTTCACAAATCCGCCATCCTCTTCGAACTACTCCCCTAGGGCATATATACAACGCTTCCTGCTCGTTTTCCATACTTCGTAACATTTCTGGAACGCTTAGAATGGCGATGTCCGCGAGTACCTCGTCACGGCTGCCTGAATGCCCTCAATCGACTCATAATGGGTTACTTTGACCACCGATTTCGTTCTAGAGAATAAAAGCAAGTCACATGGCGACATTTCGAGCGAATAAGGCGGTTGTTGCAACACGGCGATCCCTTTTAGAGGCCAAATACTGGGACATGGTGAGGGCGGTGTGGCACGACGCGTTGTGGTGATGAAGGGTCCAGCTATGAACGATGTCTGGGTGCAGTCTGTTGACTCGTTTTCGCAATCTTTCGAGTGCTTGGCGATAGTAAACTTGATTTACGGTTTGCCCCAGTGGAAGAAATTCTTTGTGGACGATTCCACGGCTATCAAAAAAGCAATAACCTTCGTTTGCAACTTCGACTTGCTCATGAGAGCTTTTTTCTGGCGGGGGCCCTGCGGATACAACCATTGTGAGCTTTGAA